GAATATAATGGATTCATTCCAAAGTTGCCGAGTGTAGATAGATAAATAAATAGAACAAAAGACAAAGGTACACACAGGCCAAATTCATACATATTCTATACCTGCACAATGCATTTCTATATTCTGAACAGAAACATTTTATGGTTGAACTTAGTTGTTTCTTTCATACTTTTAAAAATCTAGTACACAGTGAATTCAATGGTTGATGTATCATAAAACTGTACACTTGCCGTCTATATAACTTTATTAACTGATCTATCCTAATAAATTTAATTTTAAAAAAATTTAAAAATAAGTGAGATCATGTGACATTTGTCTTTCTCTGATTGTTTTATTTCACTTAGCATAATAGTCTCCAGGCCTATCCATGCTGTCTCAAAGGGTAAAAGATGCTTATTTTTTACAACTGCATAGTATTCCATTGTGCAAATGTACCAGTTTTTTAACCTGTTCATCTACTGATGGGCACTTAGGCTATTTCCAAATCTTAGATATTATAAATAACTAGAGGTCTGATGCACAAATTTGTGCAAGAGTAGGCCTTCCTTCCCCTGGCTGCTGGCATTGGCTTCCCTCTGGCACCTAGACTTGGGCTTCCCTCCAGAACCCAGGACCCGGACTTCTCTCTGGCCGCCAGCAGGCACCCAGGACCCAGGCTTCCCTCACAGTCCCTGCTTCATCCAGAAGGTCGTCCAGAAGGACATCAGGAAGGGCGTCTGGTCTAATTAGCATATTATGCTTTTATTATTATAGATGCTCCTACTAGCATAGGGGTGCATATATTCTTTATGACTGGTGTTTTTGGGTTTTTAGGATATAATCCCAGAAGTAGGATTGCTGGGTCAAATGGCAGTTCCATTTTTAATTTTTTGAGTAAATTCCATACTGCATTCCCACCAGCAATAAACTAGTGTTCCCATTTATCCATATACTAGCCAGCATTTGTTGTTTGTTGGTGTGTGTGTGGGTGGGGGATAAGAAGAGATAAACCAAATAACTTATATACTCACTAGAGGCCCAGTGCATGGACTCATGCACTGGTGGGGTCCCTCAGCCTGGCCTGTGCCCTCTCGCAATCCAGGACCCCTTGGGGGATGTAGTAGTGCTCAAAGTGGCAGGCAGCTGGGGAGGAGCCTGAGCCAGGGCCTGGCACCACACCACTCCTGCTCATCATGACCCCACTGCACCTACTGCGGGCTCGCGCCCAGTCAGTATCGATACGGAGAGGTTTGCGCCACTGCGGTGGCACTTGCCAGTCACGAGCCTGGTGTCTGGCACCTGTCAGTTAGCTGAGCAGTGCTCCTGCTGTGGAAGCACACTGACCACCAAGGGGCAGCTCCTGCATTGAGTGTCTGCCCTGGTGGTCTGTGCACATCATAGCAACCAGTCAACCAGTTGCTTAGGCTTTTATATATATAGATATGCATAGCCCATTGACAGAGATAATAGGGTGGTGAAGGCCTGGAGGGGCTGAATGGAGATTGATGGGGGGAAGGGAGACACCTGTAATACTGTTATCAATAAAAAAATATATATGTTTTAAAAACACAAAAAATCTATCTTTTATAACATTTGACTGTCATTTAGTCTTATCTCTGCCTAATAAAAGAAGGCTAAGAGAGCATGTGTGTGGCAAATATCCTAGGTTCTGAGTGCTCTTCTGGTTGACTAGACTAAGGAGGTTGAAAAGTGTCATTGGGACTAAGTGGAGTATCACCACCAAAACTGTCACTGCCATGAAAGGAGAAAAGCAGTAATCAATCATCGCTCACCCCACTAAGGGAGCATATTTGAATTGCAGAATGCAGCTGCTCCCATCAATTCCATGGCAGCTGTCTTTGTCATATTGCAATTTACACATTAGGAATAGTACCCTCATAATTTGGAAGAGTTACTGCAATTCCAAGATTCATGCCTTACAGATTTTACCTCCCAAGTGATAGGAGGTGCTGATTTATTTTTTACTACATTCCCTCTGCCTCTGCTTCCTCAGATAATATATTCCCTTACTTAAGACATTTTTCTCTTTCTCTTTGAAATTTATATTAAATCAATCAGTATTTCAAAATGGCATTTCTTTTTGTGTGCATAAAAAATTACAAGGTTTGAATGAGTAAGTCATTTAAAAATTATTGTATAGTGTACACAATTTTGGTGATAACTTGATTCATTCAAACTGTATTGAAAATGAACTTAACATCTCCCACACTCAGTTTTGTTTCTCAAAACTGACATTTACTAAATGAAATAGATTATCTGGATATCCTATATAATAAAAGAGAAACATGCAAATTAGCTTCCCTCTGCTATGCTCAAATCACGCCCAAGCCACACCCACCAGCCAATGAGGAGTGTGTATGCAAATTAACCTGACAAAGATGGCAGGTAATGTGCATACACAGAGCAGTGTGGGAGAGCAGGCAGCTTTGGGGGATGCGGCTCCCTCGGTCGCTCCCTTGGGGGGATGTGGCTCCCTTGGTCACCGGACGGAGAACAGAGTTAGGAGGCTTTAGGGGACATGGCTCCCTCGATCGGGGAAAACCCAGAGCGTGGGGAGC